TGGAGCTGTGTTGTGGTTCCCTAAGCCACATCAGATGGTCAAGGTGGCAGCTCTATTTGCAATGATTATATTTGAGACACACACAAAAACAGGGAAGCATTCCTTGTAACCAGAGGCAGTGCGTAGCAATTTCCTAGTGCACAAGAAATTACAAAGGCTGCTGACTTTCCACTTTGACCCCCTCTATATCCTAAAAAACAAGGCCTCTGCACTTGAAAGGTGATGCCACAGCAATAGTAAATCTCACTGTCCCAGGCTGGCCTCTCCCTCAAATGACTGCATTCAATGTCAGAGCTTTGTAAAATGCCTGTGTGCTTCAGACCAAACACTGATGACTTATTTTTTCTGCTCAGATTCTAAGATTTCCGAAGTTCTTTATGACATCTACAACTTGCTGGGTATTTCAGATGCGCCCTCACATCCCTATCTCCTGCTGTACTTCACTGCAGGGCAAAAATACTCGCCACGTTTCTGGACTCTATCGAGGAGGGCAGACTAATAGAAAATGTGTGCACTGAAGGCTGCTCCCCTGTGTCCTCAAAGGACTAATGCTCGCCATGGGGCCTGTTGGACACTGAAGAGTGCAGTTTAAATGGATGGAAAGTTAGAGAGGCTTTCTGGTATTTTGGCTCTTTCTATGTAGAACTGGGATTGGAAGAGGAAAGAATACGGAGACTTGCCTACATCTCTTCTTTACTCAGCAGAACAGCATTTCAGCGGAATGCAAGTCATAAGCAAGGAAGTTTCACACCTTGGTTCAGGCCTTAATACAAAGGCTCGCTACACTTTATAAATAGACACATCTGTACAGAAAGAGAGGCACTCAAATGCAGTCAGTAGGGTCAAGCTTTTTAAAAAAACCGAGAAGAATTACAAAAAATATCCCAAACATTTCTGGCTATTTTCCAAAAGTCCACGCCCTTTTATGCTATTTCTGGAAGCGTCCTTGTCCCCTACCGATTCTGTGTAACACGTCCACATGGTACTAAGAGAAATTATACCACACTGGTAAAAATTCGCAGGCTGCTCCACTCTTGTTCTAGTAATGGCATGTCAAGTGTGGGAACTATGCACTACTCAAGGGCAGAAATGGTCCCAAATCCAGCAACTGTTCGATCACATTCTAGCAGCTTTAAGCAAATGCCCCTGGCTCCTGGCAAAGTATACTGCCCTCCGCTTGCACACAGCGCTGCACAGCCAATTATGCAGCCCCCTGCTGGTGAAGATGGTAGTCAGAAGAAATCAGATGCCTTTCGTCTTTTAGGGAGCTGCAGCAGGTTGTCGGTGATTGAAGCGGGATCTTGTGTTACTGGAGTCTCAGAGACAGTCCTAGGAGGTGGGGTGCTAGTGGGTGTGTGAGACCCTCCTGCTGGGGTCTTATATCCAGGGGTTCCTGGGTGTGCTGGAGAAGGGGTATAACTGGCTCGCAGGGCTTTGTCAGTGTATTTGCTCGCAGTCCTATTTACTAGTCGTTGCAACGCTGGTGACATAGCTGGACTCAGTCCTTTTGGAGTGAGGCTGCAATAGAAGCAGAGTAGTTTTAAAAGAAGCAAAAGGGCTTTTTAAATAAAAAGCGATGCTGTGTAGCAGAGTACACAGAGCACTGAATAGACACAGCACCTGCCAGGCCCTGCAAACTCTGACTCGCACACTCCCTTCTCCTTCCACTCCTGCATCACTTGAATCATTCAGAGCACAGCTCAGGACAGAACCTGGCCATTCTGCTCTCCTGGCAGCAATGCCTGAACTCTCCCCCCTCACTTGTGTGGTTAAACCTCAGCCCCGCTGTCTCTCTCTCTGATTAATAGCAGGAGCGCCTCATATGCGAGCAATGCTCCCTGGGCTTTTCTTTGGGTCCATTGAGTCCTCTCCGTCCCCACCACAAACAATCAAGGCCTGGAACTTCTCTGCCTTTTGTGATCAGTTGGGGACACTTACCCTCCTGGAGCAAGGGCCGTTTGGCCTGGGAGGAAAGTTCCCAAAGTACATGCCTCTCCACCATACTGCCAACAGCCTTCTCCTAGAAACTGGGCTTATTCACATATAAAGTCTCTTCCCAGCTTGAGTGTATCCATTCTTGCATCTCAAAGCCCCTCCTTCTCCTGATCCTTGTACTCCTTCTCCTAACTCAAATGCCTTTCCTCTATGCATGCTGGTTTAACTCTCTTACTAGACAGCACTTGCTATTCTCCCCCACTGCCAGGGACAGTTTACTGTGGAGAAATCTCACTTGGCCAAGTTTTCCGTGACTCTTCTTAATGCTTCCTGTTTCTTTGCTCGGTTTTTAGCAGCCGCCTCATTGGCCATCTTGAGTCCTAACCGCTCTCTGCGCCCAGGCTCCAGGATCTGTAAATACACCAAACCAGGTAAGTCTCCAGGCTGCTAACCAGTCACATTCATAGCTGGAGTCCAACCCGTAAGGATCTACATTAAGGATGGGAGGGGAAGAGAACCCACTCTTGGCTTTGCTGCTATCTGGACAGCCAGAGGCAGTTGAAGATACAGCAGGATCTCCAAGCTGAAAATCTGTGTAACAAAAGTGGTAAAACAGTAACTGCCTCCTTGGCTGAGCTGAACTCTGGCATTTCCTCCAGCTGTCTCCCCTGAACAAAATGGGTCACCTCTGTTTTACCTTAGCTCTCATCCAAGCCCCAATCACTGCTAAGTTCCGGGAAAACCAACCAACTGCACTGCCCAGGTCTGACAAAACAGAGACAGAAAAGTTCCACTGCGGCTACCTCAGGAATCACATCCAAAGATCCTCACTGTCTCCAGGTAGGGAATGGGAGACGTCCTGCATCTAAGGTGAGATGCAACTAGTAGAGCCACACCACCTCCCCAAACCTCACTGGACTCAGATGTCTCAGCTGGTGGTGATGGGCCAGCAGGACGAAGCTGGAAGGAAGCCACCCAGCAGGGGAAGTTTGATTTAAGGCTCCCTATCTACTTATCGATCAAAATCACAAAAATGAGACACCCTCCTCTTCTCCGGACTCCTGGAGAACCCCAGAATATTCGACCCCCAACCTCAGGATGTCTGGGATGGACCATGAGCATTAGGTGGCTCATGGCCAGGCATTTTATCCAGCTAAACTCTACCCATAGGACCTAGATAGCCAGTACCACAGCCAAGTCATAACTCTTACAATAATCAATGTTAATCTATTAGTGACTCCTCCCCTACCCCGCCACCCCAGTCCATCCCCCCCCAAAATCTGAGTGATGAATTCTGACGTGGAATACCTTAAAGGCCGGTCCAGGTGTCCTGTCCACATACGGCGTTTCTGACCCATCTACTCGTAATGGGGTGCTCTCGATCTCACCCCACGTCATAAGAGGAGAGTCATTGACACCTAGCAACAAGTTAAGAAGCATCAGTCTGGAATGCAAGACATTTGTAGAGACGGCAACACGCAGCACATCTGCCCTAACACCGGGGTGGTCTTCTCCCCACAATAGTAAACAGAAGCTGGTTATGAAACAGCATAAATCACTGGTCACCCAATGGAACAGCCATTACTCCAGAGACAATCACACTCACTATAGGAAAGAGACACCATCCCTTTAACAATAGCTAGAGCTGCAGGACAATTTCCCAGAGCCTGATCTGGTAGCTGGCTTGTCAGGATAAACAATAGGATCTTCCACCCAGCTGATTTCTGTTGTAGAGAAGATTTACACCACGGAAAGGATCTGCACTGAACATGCCAGCTGCAGGCTTTGCCAGGTGCTGGAAAGGACGCAAGGCTCCCCAGTCTTCAGTCCGAATGATGAAAAATAAATGGTTGCAGGAAAGTCAGCATAAGATCAGTTAGCACGCAGTAAAAACAGAGCCCATTAGATTCTGATTAAGTACCAGAGAGGTCATTATACAGAATCCACGATACAGATCTATTCGAAGGGAGAGAGAGAGAAAGCGGTAGGGCTGAGGGAGACTGGGAGTGGCGATAATGGATTGCAAAATGAACAGGAGCTTGCAATGCACTATGGATCACAGAGACTCTGTTTGAATCAGAATGGCACAAAACCCCAGCGTGTTGTTACTGGATCTATCCTAGTACAGGGGCTGCCCTTTGGATGAGATGGTGAATCATTACCATTCTGAACTGGCCTCAGCCACTGACACACTGGCTCCAAAACAGTCCCTTCCTCCCCATCACGCTCACAGATTTCCTTGGGTTTCTGACACCCTGCACTGGATGAAAAGAGACGGGCCCAAACTCAAGCACCGATGGCAGAAAACAAAGGCTGATTCAGACAGAATGAAACAATGAATTCCTCAAAGCCTGGGCAGAGGCTAGAGAACTTCCTATCAGCCTCCACTGAGGCTGCCAAATCTCTCCTAAGGAGCTATCCAGATGGTAAACCACATCATTAATCCACCTACAACCTGCATTAGAGCCGGGCACCAAGTGCTCAGAAGAACTCTCTTACTTTGCTGAAAAGATCCCACACATTCAGGAAGGCTTCTCAACCAGCATGGATCCACTCCGCCTGCACCCATCAGCCCACCTGCATTCCCAGAGTTCAGGGCATTCACTCACCAAGAGGTTGTGGACACCCTAAAGGAGTCCCAGCACAAGACTTGTGAATCTGACCCACACTGCTGCAGGCTTGTTCGTGACTCTCTTTCACAACAGTGCCGCTCCTGACCAAAACAGCCAGAGCTTCATCCAGAGACAGAATCTGCCCTTCCTCCTTCAAATACAAAGCAGTCCTACCAACACTGAAGAAACTCACCCTGGATACTTCAGTCCTAGTCATCTTTCAGCCCGTGTCAAACCTCCCATTCCTGAGCAAGTTTACAAAGAAGCTAGCCAGAGACCAACTACTAGCTGAGGTTGACGGTCTAGACCCGGCACAATCCGTATTCACGCCAGGATACAAAACTGAAACTGCTTTAGTGGTTCTGCTGGATGATCTCCTGCTGTCGCTGGCTAGAGGGCAGAGAGACTCCATTCTCCTCCTCCTGAACTTCTCTGCAGTGTTCAACACCGTTGACCATGAGATGCTATGATCTCACCTGAGAGGGGTGGCAGGAGTGCAAGGTAATGTGCTAAAATGGTCTCAGTCCTTCCTGGAGGAATGCACCCAAAGAGTAGTGAAGGGAAACTGCACCTCCACTACTAGACCCCTCACTTGTGGGTTCTACAAAGATCAATTCTCTCTCCAGGCCTTCTCAATATCGACATGCAGCCACTAGGTGAACTGCTCAATCGACATGGACTCAAGTGCCACTAACATGCAGAAGACTCACAGCTCTCCCTATCCTTCACATCACATGTCCACATCACTAGCACCACGATAGCCCAGTGCTTGGCTGAGATCAGCTCATGGACGAAGAACAGCTGGCAGAACCTGAACAAAACACAGGTGATGATGGTGGGCAGAGAAAGGGATTTTGAGGAGTTTGCAGCCACGGTGCAATCTCCTTTGATTGATGCAAAATTGATCACATCAGTCCACAGTCTAGGAAGACTCTTGGATTCCTCACTGACTCTGAACTCTCACATAGCAACAGCTGCGAGTAATGCTTTCTATCCTCTCTAGTTGGTTAGGACGCTCTGTACCATCCTGGCAGACGAAGACCCACCCTCAGTTATTCATGTCTTCATCACTGCTCGGCAGGACTACAGCAACGTGATATACCTGGGCATGAAACCGAAACTCCAGCTAGGACAAAACACTGCAGCACGTCTCCTCAGCAGCACAGGTTGCTGCAAGCACATCGCACCTGTCCTCCGCTCTCTACACTGGCTTCCCATAGAATAGTCGATCAAGTTCAAGGTCTCAGACCATATCTTCAAACCGCACCATTGCCTGGGTCCAGCTGATCTAAAAGCCCGTCTAAAGCTCCAGGCCAAAGCCCGTGGTGGACAGCTTCACTGCTCTGGCACAAGGGAACTCTGCACAACACGGGTAAAGCTTGTCGGTGCAGGAGACGGAGCCTTCTCCAGGGGTGGCCCAAGACTGTGGAATGAATTCCCTCCAGAGCCGAGGACTATCACAAACCTCCCCACTTTCCACTTCAAGTGCAAGGCGCATTCCTTTGACGTGCCTGCTCCAATATAAGCACTTAGCAACCAGTATATTATTTATTTAACCATTAAAAACTGAAGGGGAAAAAAAAAAAGACAAGACAAAAAGCCCTCCCAAAACATGACATTCCCACAACACTTCTCCCTCTGGGAAGAGGACGACAGAATAAACAACACATGACAGATGTGCTTAATGCGCTACTGGAAGGCACTCAGCTACTTTAGTGATGAGTACTGTATAAAAAAAAATCTATATAGAATAGAACTGCTCGCGCGGGGAGAGAGGAGGGCAGTAAATGTCTGTGAAATGCTTTGAGATCCTTGGATATAGGCACTAGAGGACAATCACCACCAGAAAGTTACAAGTGCCGTGCTCCCCTCAGAGTTCCTATAAGCCTTTCCTAGGATGATTTAATCCATTCAGCCCGAGTCCAGCGAAGCAGCATACAGCTCTCAGAGCCTCCCGAGCCCAGCATCGTTTCGGTCTTTGGACTGAGATTTAACAGAACACTAAGTTGGCATATTCTCTACCCCAGAGACCCATTGGCTCAGCAGACATATAGAATGAAAGTCAAAGCTGCCTGATTAAAGAAGCATTGACTCCTAGGGTGGAGTGTATATCAAAAGGTCACTGGAACAGGTCAGCATTCCAAACTACTTTGCTTTTACATCAGAGCAAAAAAGTCTCCTCTTACCAGGGGCAGGAGAGGGGGTGGCCACAAATCCATATCCATTCACTTTTGGAGACTCCTGGGGGATCAGCTCCTTCCCATCTGGCCCTACTTTGCCCTGTTTGTACTAGAACAGAAAAGTTGGCATCAATTAGGCGCATTCACCACGTTCAATTCTCATAGCTCATGCACCTCTCCCCAATTAAGGGTATTTCGGTCACAAGCCTGTCCTGTCTGTAAACCAACCTGGGCATTGAGGGCTGCTGCCTGCTGGAGCTGGGATTTGCTCACAGCTTGGCTGAATGGATCTCTCAGAAAGCGGGTGTTTCTATGGACAACTTCTCGAGGCTTCTTAAACACATCATCCTCATCGGGCACACCTGGAATGGCAAGCAAAGGCATCAAGGAAAGGGCTGAGGGCCCACTAACGGGCAGGCTGGCCTAAAGCCCCAAACAAACACACAATCTCAGTGGTCAGTACACAGTTCTGCAAGACGCAACGTACAGATGCAATTATATTTTGCCGTTTCCACCCATTTAAAATAAAGTTCACACGAATGCAGTTAGGTGTCTAACCTACCGCCTGAAAAACAAGGACAAATCAAGGCTACATTAGAAAAGCAGGATACACACAAGAGTTCCCACATTTCACATGAAGGCTATTTACCATGCATTCATAGCCAAAAAAGGCATCTAGGCCCAGTCTGGGTTTGTTAAAGGGTCCCATTGCCTTTTAGACAGCAGCCAAGGGACCAGCAAACCCCACGTATACAGAGCTGAGTAGGACAGTAGGAGGAAAGAGGGGAACTGAAAGTGCTCATTAACAAGGCAAACCCAATAGAAAGGAGCTATGACTCCTGAAAACAAACACCCACTGCAGTGTGGGGAATGAGCGACAGGATGACAAATGGCAGCCCGGGCGAAACGACGCAGAACTGACGTGGGAAAGAATGAAACTGATCAGATCCCCGCCTTGCAGAAGGAAAAGCTGCAAAGTGCAATCTTACTACAGTGACAGCAAGTCAGACACCCGAACAAGCGTTGGGGAAAGCAAAGCTGAAATGCAGGTGCTGTGTGGCATCCGCCCACCTGAACTAGTGCCTGTTTCCAAATCTGCTGATGCCTCTGAAGGGGACAGTTTGCTTTACCTGCTGGGTAATACATCAGGGAATTCTGAGCCTTGTACTCCCAGGTCTCCACGCCAGCTTTCCCGCTCTCTAGTGCCTGCTGCTCTGCTGAGGGAAGCGCCAGATTCTCAAGTCGTCGCTGGAATCAAATTTAAAACAAAGCCTGAATTTCAGATTCTCATTTCAGACTGAAAAATCAGCTTGATAATTCATCTCCTTGTTGCTCTGCTTTTCATCTCTTACTTCTTCTGTCTTTCAGAGGAGAGCAGTTCAGAGATTGGATTTATTTGAAGAGACCAGATACAACTGCTATACAATAAGATATGAAGTTTAAAGGAAGAGGTACAAATATTAGCCCTGGAATGGCTTCTTGCATTTCTGTATCGCTCTTCTGTACCCTAGGCTGACTCAATCACTGCGTTTTGAGAATGCTACTCTGGTGTCGGCCTTTTAACTTTGGTATCAGATATTTTGAGTGGACAGGATGTATACACAAAAAAAGTGCACTTTATTATAGAATCTTTGTAAACTTAAATTACACAAAGCTCTTTGAGATTAAATGCTGAGCAGTCCTCTAGAAATACTGACAGCAGAGCTCCCAGTAACAGCTTCCCTCTCCCCAAGTCCCATAAAACTTTATTAACTAGACAAGACACTTTTTCAGTGCTTCCTGTCATATTTAACACACTTCATATCAGCAACACAGAGGATTCTGAATGCCAATACTTGAAAAAGAACCGGAATCCGTCTGCCAAAGAATAAGGCATTGACAGATGAATACGAAGAGCAGTTCAACAACTCGCTAAGGGATGTTGCCAAGAATTCTGACACTTGCACTTAGACAGTGCTTCACATTTTCAAAGCTCTGTATAACATATATCCTCAACACCCCTGATGTACGTCAATATTCTCCCCAGGCTATAGATAGGAAAAACAGGAGCACAAAGGGGTTTAGTGAGTTGTCAAATACTACAGCAAGTTGGGGCAGAGCCAGGATTAAACTCCGGAGTTGCTAGCTCACTAGCTAGATCTCACTGCATCACACACACACAACTCAAAAGCAAGCAGTCAGTGTTGTGTCCTTGATGCATCAGTCTGAATAATTCAACAGTCACATCTCTAGAGACAAGGAACAATCACAATGGGTTCAAGTGGGACTCAACAATAGAAGGGAACTTAATACTCTCTCCTCTCCCTGTCAAAGGCAAGGGAAGAAACCAGAAATCATCTTTCTCCCTCATTTGGTTAAACAGAAGCCAGCCCATGTCCACAGTACTATGTTAGAAAAGCTCAGCTTTCAGGAGCCATTTCCCTACCTGGGCAAACTCCTCTTCTGCTTCGTACAGCCAAGAATGCCTGGCCTTTTCCTTCTCTTTGGCCACTTCCATGATCTGCTCAAATGAAGCATTATCTTCACTGGTGTGTTTTATTAAGAAGCTGTCCAGGCTGGGAAGAATATCCTTACTCTGTTCTTTCTCCACTTCTCCTAGAGAGATGAGGGAATAAGTCTGACGAAGGGGTTCACACTCCCCTTTCTGTAATGAGCAATGCCTGGTTATTAATCCCCCATGCAGGTATTTTCCCCCACTGGTCCACTCTTAACTTGAGCATTGATGAGGAATCTGTATCTAAAATGAAAGTACATATGAAGTACAGAGTAGTAGTAGCATTGACTTGACTTACTGAAGGATCAGTGACACTTTTCAACACCCATCCCAGTTAGGATCACTCGTTTATTCACATTAAAGGACAATTCAGACGTAGTTTGCTGCCAGATGACAAGTCCGTGTTCATACTGTCCTGTACATGAATAGCTGTGCTCTTACCATCTTGCCCACAGGCAGAAACCCTTTTCTTGGGAAGCAATGAAGCTCTCACATCAGAACCGGTTACTGATCCATGCAGACCCACATCCCACTCAACCTGTGATGGAGTTTCACTTAGAGCAGATATTAGACGGGGCCACTTTAGTGGAAGGTTAACACCTGATAACATCCACAGTAGTATTTCCCCTCCTGCTGGAGAACCCAAATAAAAAGGATAGCCCCTTCCCTACCTTCCTCCGCAGCTTTGAGCCCAATCTTGGGTTTGTTCAACAAGGAAGAGGTGCCTGGGTGCACTTCGGGTGTTTCAAATGTGGCTGGAGTAACATCTGCACCAGAGAAATAAAATCCCAGCATGTTACACAAAACTGGGGAGCAGAACGTCATCATGTTACCCCTAGTGGATAAGCAAGAAGCTGCAGCCTCTTCGGGGGACCTGTCTGCCAGATCTCATTAGTCTTAGGTGACCTAAAGATTGTGACTACGAGGGAGGAATTCTTTAACTAGAGTTAGGGAAGGGTTTAAAACGATTTCTGTGTAAATCGGTTCCAACCACTGATGAAGTTTCTGCACAACTAGAAAATTGGTCCTACTGCTGCTGGGCACCAATGGCAAGATTCCCATTTATTTCAGTGCGGTGGGGGAGGGGAGACAGAGACTACATTCTAAGCATTCTTTATTTTATCTGAAACAATGACAAATAAAAGCAGGCAATGATTTGTGTTTCATGCCAGCCCTCACTCAGGGCAATGCCAGGGACTGCCAGTCGCAAACGGCAACACCAATACCACGGGAAGGGAACCCATTCAATGGTACATGTCCTCCACCACAAAGTGGCAAGTTCCCACTAGTGCAGCAGCTGCCCCTTTGCGAGCAAACACCCCAACTCCATAGCAAGAAGTCAACCAGGGGCTGAGTTTTACTGTGGGGAAGCCTGTGAATTACCCAGCATGAGAGTTACAGGCCGACATGGGAAACAGCACCTAAAACCAGACTGAAGGAGGGAGGGAGGGAAATTAACCCAAAAGGAGGGGGGGGAAAAAAACCACACCCACACACACCCCCCACAAGCCCTGTAAATGGCATCCTCACTTAACTGAAATGACTGGGACACAAACAGATTTTGTGCAATGGATCTAAAATAAATAAACAAGTTGCACATGTATTCTAACCAGCACATATTTGTTGCCTACGAGCATCTTCACAGCAGCTTACAGTGTGACTTGGTGTTTGCTGGCATACTTTGTGACTGCACATCCCTCGGTTCATTGCGTGCTGCTTCCTTGAGCACTTACTGATGCTAAACAAGTTCTTACCTTAAAATGCTTTTAAAACGTTTTAAAGCTTGTACTAGGTTTATTTTTAAGAACAATTCCTGAGATAGAAGCCGGTATCAACCAGTACAGTGGAGGCCTACGACATGAATCTCTGATAATCAGGTCACCTATTTCCACTAGAGTGTGTTAATTAAGAGGATACCCCATTGTATTAGATAAAGCTTTATAGCAGGATTCAGAAGAGGGCTTGACATAGCAAGACTATCTGGAGTTATAATAGTAAGGGTTAAAGAGACAGCTGAGAGTTTCCAAAGAGATGTAACACCTCACATTTCAGAGCATAAGGTGACCTCTAACAAATGGGAGTTAAGAAGAAGTTTTCCAATGGGCCGTTTATTTTATAACCGCCCCTCTGCGTGGTTTCTTGTACCCTTCCTCTATATCAGCTGATACCAGCCACTGTCAATACACCATTGTGTCATTCAGGCTGGTAACTCCCGTGCAATCACTACTTTTCCATAATTAGATCAGAAGGCAGCTACAAGGTTAGATTCTGTGCCTTAAATAAGTTGGGTTCCCAGTCACTCCACACCACAACAATGTACCTTGCTAGCATAAAACAGTCCATAAAAGTGAGAAAAAGACAGTAGCGCTTCATAGCTTTTACTTTATGACACACAGCCACACTAATAGCCCGACCATGAAATCAGCCACTGAAGCGCCAGCCCTTACATGGTGCAGGCGACTCCCTGGACCATTTCCCCAATGAGGAGCCAAATTTGATAGCGATTTGTCTCATCTTCTCTAAGTCGCCACTTTCTTCAGCCTCCAAGTATTCCTTCTGAGCACGTAACTTCTCAACATCAGGAAAGAAATCCCTCTGAATAATTTTCTCCAAACTCTATAGTTAAAAAAAAAAAGAGAACAAACGATTCTAAGCATACCTGGCAAGCAAGAAAAAACAAGATCAGTTTGGGGAAGCTTTCTTGGAAGGGGATAAGGATTTAGGGTTCCATGAAAGGCCTTGATTGACTGCAATGCATGACTAATACTGAAGTCCTATTTATCCACAAGAGGTACCACAGATGCACAAACAATACCAGTGCTGGCTTCCCCGACACTGCCCCAGCAGCAGGCCCGACTATGATCTAGAGTAGTGGTTCCCAAACTTTATTTGCTGAGTCCCCCTGCGGAGATTCATGTTCCATGCATGCCCCCCTCTTTCTAAGGGGGACATGGGGACCTAACACCCATGGGGGCCCAAACTCACCTTGCAGCAGTTGGGCAGTCTTGGCTCCCAGGACCTGGCTCCCGCCCTGTCTCACTCCCACCCACAGGAGAAGCAAATGGGCTGCACTGAGGAGGAAGGGTCAGGAGTGGAGCAGAAGGCTGCATTCCTTTAATCCTGTCTCTTCTGACCCCAGCCCTGTCTGTTTCCCCTGGGCAAGATCTGTCCAGAAAGGGAAGTGGACGGGCACTGGGTCCTGGGACCACAGTCAGGAAGTGGCTCTGTCCAGCAAGAGTCAATACTTACGAGGTGCAGCCTTCAGCTCCCCGCTGGCCTCCCCAGCAGAGGAGGGTATCTGCCAGGTGATAGCTGAAGTAGTTGGCATGTGAGACAGGCAGGGAGTCTGGTCCCAGCATCTGAAACCACCCACACAGACCTCTCTCCGCCTCCCGTACCGGACAGAGCCCCTCCTGACTCCAGCCCTACAGTGCAGCCCCATCTGTTCCTCACACACCCCTGATAACCTCATCGCACACGCGTGGTGGGGTGCACAGTTGGGGAATCTCTGATCTAGATGGATCAGCTCTAAGAGTGAGAGAGATTAATCACCATCACCCTTCAATCCTTGGCATCTTTGCTGAGACCGCTTAAGGGTGCCAATTAGCGTTAAACACGAGGGTGGCATTGTGAGGCAGACGTCTGTTCACTAGGAAATGGATGGAACCCAACTCATTTAAAATAGGCCACTAACGATCTATCAGAGCGTATGTCTCTGCTGGGTATGTCTTTGCTGCAATCGAAGGCATGATCACAACTTGGGTAGACATACATGCTAGCTTTCATCTAGCTAGCACGGCTAAAAATAGCAATAAAGATACAGTGACACAGAGTTTGGCCCTGGCTGGGCAAGCCCACCCAGAACCTCAGATATGCGCTTGCCTTGCTAGCCCGAGCCAGGGTCCCTGCCGCCACATCTCCACTGCTGTACTAGCTAAACTAAAGCTAGTGCCTGTATGCCAATCTGCATTCACACCTACCCTTTGTTGCATCTTATCTGGCCCTGGCTAGTAGTGTAACAACCCAAGATGAAAGGTCCACATACTGTTAACGATCCAACCTGACCCATTTGGCCCCCTCTGGAAGATTTTTCTGCCCTTTCGCAAAATCTTGTTACATACAGCACCTTTCATTTTGAAGGATCCCAAAATACTCTGCGAAAAACATTTATAAACATATACTGTACAGGTGTCACATTATACAGTGCTGAAACACAGCCAGCTCTGGAGCAAAACCCAGCAACTGCAGAGCAGTGCACTTGCACTGTAATGTTACACTGCAATCTGGGACAGGAAACAAAGAATTATGGCCACTATAATTAAAAAGTATCAAAGGGGAGCTGTGTTAGTCTGTATCCACAAAAACAACGAGGAGTCCGGTGTAGGGTGACCAGATGTCCCGATTTTATAGGGATAGTCCCGATTTTTGGGTCTTTTTCTTATATAGGCTCCTATTACTCTCCACCCACTGTCCCGATTTTCACATTTGCTGTCTGGTCATCCTAGTCCGGTGGCACCTTAAAGGGTGTCATAAGGAGGAGGGAGAAAACTTGTTCACTTTAGCCTCTAAGGATAGAACAAGAAGCAATGGGTTTAAACTGCAGCAAGGGAGGTCTAGGTTGGACATTAGGAAAAAGTTCCTAACTGTCAGGGTGGTTAAACACTGGAATAAATTGCCTAGGGAGGTAGTGGAATCTCCATCTCTGGAGATATTTAAGAGTAGGTTAGATAAATGTCTATCAGGGATGGTCTAGACAGTATTTGGTCCTGCCATGCGGGCAGTTGACTGGACTCGATGACCTCTCGAGGTCCCTTCCAGTCCTAGAATCTATGAATCTATGAATTAACAGATTTATTTGGGCATAAGCTTTAGTGGGTAAAAAAACCCCAAATAAATATGTTAGTCTTTAAGGTGCCACCAGACTCCTCATTCTTTTTATAATTAAAAAGAGATTGGGGGAAAAAATATTCCCCTTCATTTTTCCTCTTTGTTTATTGTGTATTAGGCAGCACCTTGTACACCGTCAGTTTCCCCCTTCCCTGTGTGGTCAGTGTTTTCCCCAGCTGGTCGGATGGGTTCTCCACCCAGAAGCAGGGTTGATAACAGTTTTAAACACAGAACAGTGGGGCTGTATAGCCACCCACGTTGGTACAGACGGGTTGGGGTGGCTAGGGTGTCTGAAACCACTTTCCCCCTTGTTCTAACAATGTTCTGGGCAATGCTGAGTGGTCAGGGCCCCTTTTGGGGAGAGGCACAAAGCGTGGCTCCCTGGACCGTAGGTTTGAGCCACAGTGGGGGACCCGATCGGGGTAGGGAGAGCAGGGGAGATATCACTCGCTATGCCAGCCTGCCCCCCCCCCCATGAATAGCACAAGCTGGGGCTGCCTAGCAAGGAAAAGCAGGTAGGACCCAACTCCCACTGATCCTCGGACCCCATCTGCAGTGACCGACCACTCCCCCCCACCCCACCCCCAGACAGCCCCGGCCTCCCCCTCAGACAGCCCCCCCTTTGCCTCCCCCCCAGACAGGCCCCCTTTGCCTCCCACACAGACAGCCCCGGCCTCCCTCCTCCCAGACAGTCCCCCCTTTGCCTCCCCCACAGACAGTCCCAGCCTCCCCCCTCCACCCAGACAGTCCCGGCCTCCCCTCCCCACCCCCAGACAGCCCCGCCCTCCCCCTCAGACAGCCCCCCCTTAGCCTCCCCCCCAGACAGCCCCGGCCTCCCTCCCCAACCTCCCCCGCCCGATCACCTCGATGTAGCTCTCCTCGTCCAGGATCCTCTTACGGCGCTTGGGGGGCTCCTGGGCCGCTTCCCGCAGCACAGCCACGGCGGCCCCGTCGGCCTGTAGGGGCACCAGCGCCAGGGGTGAGGCAGCGGCGGTGACGGGAGCCCCCGGCTCCTCCATGGCGCCAGGCCGAGGATCGCTGTCAGCCAGGCCAAGGGGCGTCCGCGGTTTCTCGGGGCAGGAGCCGACACGGCCAGAATCGAGGAAGGGTGAGGGGGTGGCTTGACCCTTCCCAGCCACCGTCGCACCGCGCTGCTGGTCGGGACTTGTAGTTTTCTTTTAGCGCACTAGTCCCGATTCCAGGCGCTAGCAGCGCCGCCGAGAGGAGCCTGGAAAGCCTAGAGCGGCGGGCTAACGGGAAACCACAGAGAGCGGCTAGAGCGTCCCAAAGGGAGAGCGCTCTCCCTGCCGGCAAGGAGGAAGAAGTGCGACTAAGGGCGCATGCGCGTTGGGGAGGAGCGCCCGTGAGCAGGGGGCCTACCCTCCCTTGGCTTGACAGCAGCTCAACGTTCCAGAGGGGACCTTGCCTTGGGTCTGGGTCACAGGGCAATGGGCGGGAGCGGGAGGCTTTATTTAAAGGCCTCCCGGAGACTGATACCAGACTAAGCACGATGCTGACTACAGTGATGCGCTGCCTGATTTGCAGAGTTGATTTATGGAGTCTATAGCTTCTCTACAGCGGGGCTGCAAATATTAATCCTAGAATGCACTTATTTCTGAACACTAGAAAGCCCTTTACCGCAGTGACTGGCACACACACGGGGGTTTCCGGCCAGAAACACACAATTGAAAGTAAACGTAACACAGTCGTATATTTATTTCTGTACTGTCGTTGTAAGTCACAGATGGCAGGAACTACTGCACTGATGCTAAATACCCAGGCAGGGCAGAATTCAATTTGTACTTTTTTCATAATTTTGATGGAGAATTTCAATGTTTATTTTTAAACCTGTTCTCTATTTTTATCCATTTAAATTTCCACAGTTACACAAAATTATGGTTTTAGGCTATTTTATTTGGATCGATTTACATTTTCACAGCTGCAAGGAAGCCTGAAGGGTCAAACAATCATTATTTATTGAGAGAAGACACTGAGATATACAAAGTTAAAACTTTACAACCGTTAAAACACAAATTGTCCGCATCACATGTCAAAATATACAAAGTAAATATTTTTAAATTAAACAAATTCTCAGGCAGCATTTTCATTCACTTTATCCATCTGTAAATTTTGATTATTATCAATGGATATATTTTTTCATTGATTTGTATGTGTTTGGTGAAATTGACATATACTGATAATCTAATCCTGCCAACCCTATATATACCTTTGAAAAGATAAATAATGCGTTAATGTTCAATTAGTGCTTTTCAGGTAGTTGGCTTGGGGAAAACAGATTAGTATTATTTGCCTGTATGCGTGTCCTATCCTAAAACAAGATTACAATTCCCAGCATTCAAACACTGGATATGTTATCCCCTAGCCGTGCCCCACACCCTGGCCAGCGCTCCCAACTTTCAGGGCTGTGCTGTTCAGCTGCAGACCCCCAGTAGAGCACATTCTCCACCAGAATATGGCATCACTCAGGATTAACTCAATACCCTGCCTTGTGTTGAAAATTCTACACTGGTGTGTGGCTCTTGGTGTCAGCCCTGCAGCACAGAAGGAAGGCAAAGGTGCTGTGGAAGTGCAAAGTGTTATTTACAGTGACAGAATCTTTGCGGACTTAAATTAGTAGCGTTACTACTTTTGTCAGGAGCATCGTGTTTGGCAGGCTCGATGCCAGGGCTCCAGTCCCAGTAACAGCTGTCTCCCCAGTACATTGATTTATGAATCTTTATTTTACTTGAAAAGAACTCCAGCAGCATTTACTGCATACACACACACACCCCATTCCCCACAATTATCATGGAGGGATCCAAGTCTGAAAATGAAAGGGAATCTGTCTGCAAGGAATAAAACATAGAATGGGGATGGAAATCAGGAACGATTCTTCAAAAGCTGGCTGGCCTTGTAGGACATGGCCAATTATCATCCTTAGAGAGACACGGTGGGTGAGGTAATATCTTGAGAGACAAGCTCTCGCCAACAGAAGTTGATCCATTAAAAGATATTACCTCACCCACCTTGTCTCTTTAATATCCTAGGACGGCCATGGCTACAACACTGCAAACAGTTATCATCCTTAGCACTTACACAGCAGGTGGGGCACCACATAGACAGTTCTAGGGCTGAAACTTTCCTCTGTGCTGTTGTGAAGCCCAATGCACCACTCCAGACCCCAAAGCAAGGTCTTAGGGCGTGAGAACCAGAAAGTGAAACTGACGGATCTAGTTTAATTATCCAAGCTGAGTGAAACAAAACAAAAAAAGGAAACAACCAGCTTCTCTGGTGAAATACACCCTTCTAGCAGTAGAAACTCTAGTAGCTACCCATAGCAGCAGGTGTTGCTTTTCCTCTGCAGTGCTACAGTTTAGTTTTCATTTCTCTTTTGCCATTTTGTTTGGGGTTGGCAACTGCTGTTGCCCCATTCTGGGCAAACCCAACCCACACTGCGAGCAGAGCAGCTGCAGAGTGGTCCATCATGGAAAGAGAAGATTGCTCAGTATACAAATGGCCTTGTCTGCACTAACAACAAACTGTACTACAGCCATGTGTTAACACAGGTTAGTTGAAGACGTTAGTTTGAAAGTACTAATAGTACTTTGATGCCCCCTACTCTGTACATGAATGAATTTCTTTTGAAGAATGCAAATAGAGCCTTTGTTAGTTTGTTTAAGGAATGAGTTGTGTAATTAATCAGTATCCACCTTGACCCCAAAATGCAACTGTAGACACCATCATGACACTGTAAAAACAATGTAAACCCCAGGCCATTATCCAGAATAGTCTCCGAATCTACTTTATAACAACAAAACAGGCACAGCGCTATCTGTACAGGAACAAAGACAAGTTGAGAGAAATCTTTCTCCATCATCCATACATGCATCTACAATACTAACATTGAAGTTATCCCCACCTTTGGCATTTGGCAACTTTTCAGCTTAAGCTTTTGAGGAACATGCCCTATGACTCGTTTGTTTTATTTGTCATGAGATGAACTTTTTTTGGATGAAAAAGCTAAGGACTTGAAAATACAGCACCTACCTTTACCTGCCCTTTACCTCATCGAATCAGAAGATTCCCTCACTGCTTTCCCTCTCCAGCCCCACTCCTCTTCCATCTGTCCCACCTTGCTGCAAAACCAGTGGATCAGGGCAACTGGTGCTTTTCACAGTAGCCCTGTGAGACTTAGTGTCAGTCCCTTAGCAGTTCTCCTCCGAGGGTTTTTTGGTGCCTTGAAGGAGCAGAGCCGAAGCAGAAGCTCTTTTCTGATGCCTCCACTTGGCCCGTCGATTTTTAAACCAAACCTAGACATTTAATAAAAGAAATGCAACATTTATCTCTAGCCTCCATGAAACGGCCCAGCCCTGAAAGCAATTGGCATTTACAACTTTGGATTTTACAGCATGACGGGAAGTGGTAGGATTTGGCAGTACGTTCTACTCTGGTTATGAAGGCTGCTCCCGCACAGGTAACTCAGGACAAGAGCCACCTGAGGACTCCTTCCCTGGAGTTCATGTTCAGTTACTTTCAAGGTGGGCAGGTGAGCCAGGAATCCCAATGGTAAACAAAAGTGTTCTGCAGAACATGAAAATGTTTGAAAGCAGGGCAGTGACTGCAGAGTTAAGCGGTGTGCACGTGTGAGAGCGTGCGCAAGAGTGCCTGTGAGTGTGTCAGGCCATAAAAACAATGTGTGAGTGTTCTGCACACATCCATTGTGTACTGGCCTTATCCTATGGCTTACGGAATTTACAATGTGTTTTTTCAATTGCACTTTGAGGTGCTACATCTGCAACCCCCTGTGGGGGCATAAAAATGGCTCCTGAACCAGATTCCTCTTTATTTTTTTTAGTGAACAGGGGCAAAAATTGTTTTGATCTCTGTAGTGTGGAAGAATCTCACCTCTACTCTCTCCTCCTTTAAGTGGATGCGGTTGGCCAGATGCTCTCTAGTGATGACATCTGGGTACTGGTTCTGGTTGAAAAGGGCCTCCAGGGCCTGTAGCTGATCTTCGGTGAAGATGGTCCGGTGCCGGCGGGTCCGCCTTTGGATCTGATGGAAGGTCTGCAGCTCATTCTGGCTCCCACGAAGGTTCTTACATGCCCTGGCAGTGGGATGAATTAGCCTCATGGGCCAGGGGAACCTGGTGTCTAATAAAAGGAGAGTTAGAATTTACCAGTTTGATTACAGAACCAAAACAAACTAAGCGCTCTCCGAAGAAAGGCCTGTCCCCCTTCAATTCCACGTAGGCCGAAGTTGGGGCTGCTATGGAGGCAGCATACTCAGACTCTGCTTGAGCTCCTCTGGGTGATTCATGATGAATCAGCATTGACTGGCTTTGGACAGAGCCACGTTCAGCCCCCTTGGATGAAATGAAAGCGTGGCTGCCATGATGTGAGGCCTGGGGTAGGAGACAGCGATTGACTGGAATTCTCTAGGTTCCAGGAGAGGCATAGAGTTGAAGAGCAGAAGGGACCACCAGATCATTTAGTCTGACCTCCTGTATTTCACAGGCCACCAACACCTCCCAGCACCTGCACACTAAACCCAACCACTTGGAGGAAGGTATTCCATCCCTTAGGATACTAGACGACTGTGTGCCACAGGCAGAGAACAGGAGGGACTGAGGTGCACCAGTGCCTGAGGCCTCTGCAATGGCAAGGAAATGAGATGCTCCCAGATGTCCTAGCAAGCAACCTGCACCCACAAGCTGCAGAGGAAAGTGAAAAACTCCCAATGCCCTCGCCAATCTGACCTGGGAGAAAATTCCTTCCCGAGCCTCCATGTGACAATCAATTAGACCCTGAGCATGTGAGCAAGAACCAGCCAGCCGAGTACCTGAGAGACAGAATGCTTGGGGCCACCTTAGAGCCCTGGCCAGCCCCTTCCAGTGTCTCCTCTCCAGCTCTGGGACTGTCCCAGATGCTTCAGAGGAAGGAGACAAAAAGAAGAAAGAGGAAAAAGACAAAAAGGCAACGAGAGTTCCACTCGGGAAGGGTGAAGGAATTCTGGCTATGTTCTCCTGGTTTACTGCCCAGCTGCAGTATTGCCACCACAAGCATTAAAATGGCACGAATCAGGCTCCTCAAAACCATGAGATTGGATTAAAAGCTACAAGATGGTTTAATACAATAAATCTGGGATTCTTTTTGTTTGTTTTGTGGTTTGTTAGCTTTCAGGATGCACTGGGACCACATTTTCAAGCTTTTCTCTGCAATCAGGGGGGCTAGAAACAAACTTTTCTTT